CCAAAAGTCCCTTGGATTCCGGCAGGAAGAACACCTCCTTGGACYTTGTCCTACCCAGATCAGACGCCCGGTCGCCGGCATAAAAATCAAGGCAGAAAAAACTCAAATCCCTACTTAAAATGTACATTTGCGTTGGGGATTTGCCCGGGTCCTTTAATAAGTTCCGTATATGCTGCATTAGCCTACGCAGAAGAGACTGTGAGAGCTATATCCTTGATGTCACCTGGTAAAGCACCTGGAGCTGACGCTATCCCTGCTGAAATCTACAAAGCATGTGGACCAATTGCCATTAACAAACTGACGGAACTTTTCCAGTCCATGTGGCAGAAAGAAACAATCCCCCAAGACCTAAAGGATGCGTCAATAGTCCACCTCTACAAGAGAAAGGGCAATATCCAGGCATGTGACAACCACAGAGGTATATCACTACTATCAATAGCTGGGAAAATACTGGCAAGAATACTGCTGAACAGACTTCTTCGTCACCTAGAGAATGGTCTCCTTCCCGAGAGTCAATGTGGCTTTCGAGCAGGCCGTGGCACAGTCGATATGATCTTTGCTGCCAAGCAACTTCAGGAAAAGTGCCAAGAACAACACACAGCCCTGTTTACCACTTTTGTTGATCTCACGAAGGCGTTCGATCAGGCCTCTGGAAGATAATGGGAAAATTTGGCTGCCCAYYWAGGTTTACTTCTATGGTACGCMAATTCCACGACGGGATGCAAGCCCATGTCCTCGAAGATGGAAATCAGTCGGCCCCCTTCCAAGTGACGAACGGATTATAGCAGGGTTGTGTGCTCGCTCCCACTCTCTTCAGCATGATGTTCACCGCAATGCTTGCAGATGCATATTCCGACAATGATCCGGGTATCGACATAAAATACCGAACTGATGGTGGAATATTTAACCCTCGTCGTCTCCGGGCAAAAACTAAAGTTCATATCACCAGACTCAGAGTCTTACTATTCGCAGACTACTGCGCTCTAAATGCCAACACAGGGCTAGAAATGCAAGAAAGTGTCAACAAGTTTTCAGATGCCTGTAACAACTTCGRCCTGACAATAAGTACCAAGAAGACAGAAGTCATGCTTCAACCAGCACCAAACACACCATACATGGAACCCGAGATCTACATTAACTCCCAGCGTCTAAACCCRGTGGAAAAATTCACATACCTTGGCAGTACGTTATCCAGAKTCATACACATAGATGATGAAGTCAATGCCCGCATCGCTAAAGCCAGTGCATCTTTTGGTCAATTGAGCAAAACAGTCTGGAACCGAAGAGGCATCTCAACAGAGACAAAGCTGGGCGTGTACAGAGCAGTAGTATTGACATCATTACTCTACGCATGCGAGACATGGACGGTGTACCAAAGGCATGCCAGGAAATTGAATCATTTTCACACCATATGCCTGCGCAAGATCCTTGGCATAAAGTGGTATGACCATATTCCTGACACTGAAGTACTGGATCGTGCAAACATGTTCAGTATCAACACCATGCTGCAGCAAGCACAACTCCGATGGGCCGGTCATGTGAGAAGGATGTCTGATACACGCATCCCAAAACAACTCCTCTATGGTGAACTCCAATATGGCACTCGCAGCAAAGGCGGTCAGAAAAAGCGCTACAAAGACACCCTAAAAGTCTCTGCAAAGCAATTTGGAATAGATCCAGACAACTGGGAAGAGCTTGCAGATGACAGAACTCACTGGCGCACAGTAGTCAAGAAAGGGGCCAAGCTATGCGAGGACAAGCGTGTAAACCAAGCAAAGCACAAACGACGCCTTCGAAAGACACGAGCAGCTTCGGTTACAGTTCCAACAGGTCCAGTCTGTCCCGAGTGTGGTCGAGCCTTCCATGCGCGAATCGGTCTGGT